GGGTTTTGGGGGGGGGGGGGGGGGCAATAGTTTGTGATTTCCTTTATTTCAACACCGTGGCAAGTATGTTACACTTGCGACAAGGCAGCTCTGATTCTTTAAAATCTACTCACATTTTTCGAAACACAACCAAGCTGATTAATACCCCCCCCCCCAAAGCTCCCCCCTCCCTCGGAAAACGTTCACCTTTCCATTACCTCCATCCCACTCCCCTCCCAATAAAAAATCGTTCTCCTCTCCCCATCCCCACCTCAATCCTTATTCGTTTTCCACTCTCCTCTGACCACGAAATTGTCTCACTTTTATACCACACCCCACTTCCCACCCACACCACAACTTCATTGCTGTTATTACTATGTCTATTAAGTCTTTGAGACATGTTTTTTTTTTTTTTACATTGTAAATAATTACAACACAAACAGATCCCGTGCATTTCATTTCCTGTTTTCAAAATAAATTTGTATAAAAGAAAAGTTGAAACAAATGTCAACGCAAAGTGAGATCTGAACACAAATAACAGCGAAGTATAGCCAGATCTAACAAATATACACAGTCTATCTTCCCAAGCTCCCAGAGCTTTCTCTGTGTCTTTTGGAGAGTTGTAGGACAAGACAAGTTGTGGGTTCTCCTTTTCCTGACAAGATTCCGGCGTCTTCACTAGGCGGAGATGTCTGTCCCAGTGTTTGCTGCTCTCCTCATAACTCTCGACACCGCCCTAGGTGAGTCACTCACCACTGTCCACTGTCCAGACATATATCTAAATATCTAGGCTATTCAAAAATGGCTACGGTCTTTTACGTTTCTTTAAAGTTCCCCCGGAAAGTGATTCTTTTCAAGAGTAGGGTAGGGACAATACTAAGGCTAAGGCTAAAGGACAAAACTAAATAAGCTGCTTCTCAGCCAGAAAAGACAAAGTTGTCTATTATGTAGATTTTTCAACGCCATTTTCTCCAATTGTATGTCTTTAGTCAATATTATTCCATAAACTAAAATCTCAACCTGTACATCTGAACTGTCATAAACTGTAAAATCTCAACCTGTACATCTGAACTGTCATAAACTGTAAAATCTCAACCTGTAGATCGGAACTGTCATAAACTGTAAAATCTCAACCTGTAGATCGGAACTGTCATAAACTGTAAAATCTCAACCTGTAGATCGGAACTGTCATATTTGACTTAAGTCCGGAAATGACTTCTGTAACGAGCAACCACCTTAACAAACACAATAAAAGACCGTGACCAAGTTCTTTCTTTAAGGGTGCAGGCAGAATGGACGCTGCTTGGACGCCACTTGGACGTTTCCTTCTTTATTCTGTTACTCGCATCAAGGAACATTCACATATTTTCAAAAGTGTAATTATGAAAATTAAAATTAAAATATAAATTGAAAGGCGTTCCGCAGAGGACCGGCCGACCAACAACAAACAAAAGAGGGGATTTTTTTATGAGCGAGGCATCCCCTAACTCTTAACCTCAACCCCAACCTTTGATTAATTTGCACAGTGGACCTTGTCATAGTGCCGCCCTCTGCTGAACTCCTCCCTATAAATTAAAATATGAAACTGAAGAGCTCATTGGAATGATACAGTTATCCGATCGTAAAAACGCGCAGCACAATCTTAATATTTCACTGATCAGTAATTAACGCGGAACTCTTTATGCTTTTGTAGACCCAGGCAACCAGGCGAGGCACGGCCGAGTTTTGAACGGTTGGGTCCGGGTCCACTGTGCACTAAGCCAAAGCCTCACACAAATCTTAATTCTACCCCTAACGCTAGCCCTAACCCTGACAAGCTTTAACCATGGCCCTATCCTTACCCCTGACCCTCGCTTTACCCCTGACCCTAGACCCCAGCCTTACCCCTGACCCTAGACCCCAGCCTTACCCCTGACCCCAGCCTTACCCCTGACCCTAGACCCTAGCCTTACCCCTGACCCTAGACCCTAGCCTTACCCCTGACCCTAGACCCTAGCCTTACCCCTGACCCTAGACCCCAGCCTTACCCCTGACCCTAGCCTCACCCCTGACCCTAGCCCTAGCCCTGCCAGGATCCCAACGATAGATTACGGGAGTTTGACCTCTTGCTGATGATTGCCTTACGACTGTTTGACTACTTCGATTTATGACCTTATTTTAGTATACTAGTACGACTACTTACTTCGCATAGGATGCCCATGTGTAGCACGCAAATGCAGTGCACGTCCGGGAAGCAAT